GAAGCTGCCAGGTGTCTTCAAGGTTAGGGTCAGAACAGGTACAATGTTACTTCTGCCCCATTCTGTCTGCCAAAGCAAGTCCCAAGGCCAGCCCATGGGGAGGAGAAATGGATTCCACTCTTGAAAGGAGGAATGGCATGCAAGAAAGGGAGAGGAAGATTTGTTGCTAGCCATCTCTGGAAAAAAATCTCCCACAAAGAGCTCCTCAGAGTTCACTGCACTGAAGGTGTACGTTGATCACAATTCGTAGCTTGTGTGGGCTCCTTTGGCAGCAATTACTGGTTCCCAAACAGTGATCAATGAGTGATGAGGTGTTCATTGATCCAAGACCAAAAAACAAACAGACAAAAAGGAGAATATAGTGTATTTCAATAAAATTACATTAAACAAATTTAAAAGGATTCTGAGATTTTCTTCCTTCTTATGAAATTAGTAGGTTTTGCGGGGGACAAAAAGTATTTATATGGCAAAATAGAATATTGGCCACCTCGTGTGAGTCCTTCCAAAATTACTGGTCTTTGAAATCCCAAAGTCTGGGGACAATCAGACTTTCTTTAGTCAAGCTTCTGCTTCCTGTCCACTGTCCCCATGATGGTTCTTGCACAAGTCCTGGGAAAAGTCCCATTTCACTTAAGGTACTTTTTTTACTCCCTGTGAAATTAGCGTGTGTGGCTCTGATGGAATTTCTAATGTTTTCAGTTTTGTCCTTTAAGCCAGTTCAGGGGGCTAAAAACTGCTAACTGGCGGGAAGGTTTCTTCTCCAGCCTCTGAGTTACTGAATGTTCTTTTAACCTCTGTACCCGCTACTTCTCATAACCCTCAGTCAAGGGGAAAAGTCTGCCAAGGAGCATGTCTTGTCCTTCATGAAGCCTATTTTAAGCCCTTGTAATCTTGGTAAAGTTAATGAGAATCCCCTTACTACCTGTCCTATTATCCTATGCTCATTTTTGAAAGCATTTTTCACTTTGGTCTCAATTGTTTTGTATTTGGAGTTCTTCAGATATTTTAGTATGAGGTGGTGGGCATCCTTATTTTATAGCATTGAAACTTTTTTTTTGTTTGCATACTTTTTTGGTGTCATTTTGTTTGGTGTCAAAGAGTTGGTGATGGTTGGTTTTTTTAAATCTCCAGAACACGTGTACAACTGTTTATTAAATTTACGATGCGAAAGAAATATGAGAACCCTTAAAGAGTAAAGTAAAAGTCATACAGTTGCAAACAAATGTATTTATTTGTAAGTGTAGATTGGGAACGTGAGAAATGGCTGTCACAATGTTCTCCTTGCCTTTTTCTGTTTTTCTCTCCCTCTCGTATTTGGGATGGGTCTTAAGACATAGATGAGTGTGAGGTTTCCGGCCTGTGCAGGCAAGGAGGACGGTGTGTGAACACTGACGGGAGCTTTGAATGCTACTGTATGGATGGATACGTGCCAAAGAGTGGGCCTGAGCCTTTCCACCCAACCAGAGATGCCACATCATGTACAGGTGGGTTTCTGCCACAGAATGCAGAATCGGAAGGTGCGTTTCTGTTGGTGGTGACTTTCTGCTGCTCTGAGCCCGTGTCTGTGTCTGTGGGTCTCCGCTGGGGATGTGGGTAAAAATTATCTGTTCCTTTGCACATTTGTACAACTTATGAAATAAAGCAAATAATATAACCAAGATAGAAGGGGCAATATTAAAAAGCTAAAATTAGTAAACTTCTGGGATTTTTAGCAGTTAATAAATATTCTGATATTAACCATTATGTTAGCTAGTAAACACAGCTGATCTGGTTAGGACCAACATCTCAAAAGTGACCCTGAAAATTATAAAGGCATATATATCTTAAAGTATTTTGCAATTAAAATTTTTCACTTCATCGGACTAGGCTTCTCTTTAGGTAGCATTGCCAAATTCTTTCAGCTTTGTGCATTTATAGATGCTATTACTTATGGAAGGTCAGAAGACTGAATAGAAACGTGCCCAGAAGTCATGTGGAAATGAACCAGCCTATTTAAAATATGGCTGGGGTATGTGTGGTGGGAGGGAAGGGGAATGGGATAGAGGTAGAGAGAGATTATGAATTTTGAAAATTCACATTCACATAGGAATGCATTTGACATTAATTTATTTTCAGAAATAGACTGTGGCACCCCTCCTGAGGTCCCAGATGGCTATATCATAGGAAATTATACCTCTAGGCTTGGTGGCCAGGTTCATTATGCTTGCAAAGAAGGATTTTTCAGTGGCCCAGAAGATGCAATTTCAAGCTGCACAGCCTTGGGCACATGGGAGTCTCCCAAATTAAATTGCCAAGGTGAGTTTTAAAAAAATTCAGGTTCACAGCTTATACCATGTTAAGATTGTTTTCATATTTCTCTCTTAAATAGTTCTTTCTGGGATGGCGAGTGAATTAAATAAACCTAGTAAATTCCTGTTATTGTTTCTAATAGGTTTTCAGTTGATTCTCTTGGTATTTTCAGGAATAGTATCTTATCTGCAAATAATGGTAATTCCATCTTTTATTTTTCTACATTTATAAAAGTTATATTTTTCTCTTGATTGATCACTTGACTAGTATTTTCAGAACAAAAATTTAAATAGTAGCATTGACTTTGAATATTCTTGTTCCTAAGTTTAATGGCATTGGTTTCAGTAGTTCATTATTCATTCATGATCTTGGCTTTCTCATATTCTTATGTACACTGAAATAGCAGTATGTGCCCAGTGCTATTCTAAGCGCTTTACATATACATCGACTCATTTAATCATTACAGTACCCCCATGAGTTTGTACGATGATCACATTTTACAGATGAGAAAACTGAGGCACGAAGAAGTTAATTTGTTCAAGGTCACACAAATAGTGGTGGAGGTGAAATCCGAACCCAGGAATTCTAGTTTCAGAGGTCATGTTCTTAATCGTGCTGGTACAGTACTTCTGTTTTTGTGATGATGTTGACTTTTGGGTTGTTTTCTACTTTTGGCCTTCTCTTCATCTATTACCATTTCACTAGTTTTTGGCTCTATATGCATAATCTTAAGAAAGCATCTATATATTCCCATTTTACTAGAATTTTTTTAAAAATCAGGAATGAGTTATTTTTTACATGTCTTTCAGGCATGCGTTAAGGTGATCATACATGTTTTTCTTTTTTTAACCAGTGATGTGGTAGGTTATATTATTAGATTTCTTGATAATGATCAATACTAATTTCTGGAATGGATTCTTCTAGGTTTTTTGGTGTTTTATTTTTTAATCTAGATTATATTTGCTAAATTTTACTTAGAATTCTTGCATTGATATTCATTAATGAGATTGGTCTATTTCCTTTTTCTATGCCATCTTTTTGGGTTTGGTAGCAATGTTATTCTAAATTTTAAAAGAAGAATGTGAAAGGATTTCTTTCTCTTTTCTCTAGTATACTATAAATTGAATTTTAAAAGATTTGGGAGATTTCACCTGGAAAAGCATCTGGATGTAGCACTTTTGGAGAGGCAGATAAAAATTTTTGTAAAAATTAAAAAAATTCTATACTTAATGGTCTGTTTAAGTTTTTATCTTTTTTGGTAATTTACATGTTCCTAGAAAATCATCTATTCATCGGATTTTCAAATTTATCTGTAGAGAGAAGTATAAAGCACTCGCACATTTAATTTTTTTTACAGTTATAGTTGTTTTTAATTGTTTATAATAGTGAAATATTAGAAACAATTCCAAATGTCTCTCTATAGGAGATCAGTTAAATAAATCATGGTTTATATATAAAATGAAATATGTAACCAATAAAAATTATGTTGGAAAAGAATATTTATTGACATAGGTAAGTATTAACAGTATATTACTAAGTTGCAAACTGTATGAATACCATCTTATCTTTGAAATAATTTCTGTGTACATATATGCTTATGAAAAAGTTTAGAAGGCTATACATCAAAATGTTAACAGTGATAATTCCCACTAGGGAGGTCCTGGATGATTTTTATATTTTATATACTTTCTGTATCGAAGAAATTTTTAACATGTTAGACAAAGTAACAAAGCCGTTTCCATTTTGGGAAAAGGGGGAAAAAACAGTTTCGCTGAATTTATTGCATAATTAAGCAACCTCAGTGATGTGCTTGGCTGAGTTAATCCTTTTGCTATTCTGGTTTGCGATTTCAGGCTCTAAACACATTTTAATAGTTAGTTATCATCCTGGGGGTTAAATTCTAAAAGTATATTTTAGTTATAACATTATCTTTCAATGGATCAATTAAAATGCAGAACTTAGATTAAAATATGCCATAATGCATATCAAAGAACTCTCTAAGGATTAATATGGGAAACTCCATGTAAAACAATTTGTATTACTTTGAAAATTGGATTTTTATCTGGATTATTGGACCGAGAATGGAGAAAGTTAGAGAGTGCTTGTTATAATTCCCAAAGAACTATTATTTAGAAGATCTTTACTTCTTTTTTCCCTCCTCTAATAACTACTCTCTCTGCTTGCTGACACCTTCCTCTGTGTGTGTCACCACATGGCCATCAGCTTCTCAAGGCTGTGCCTGCTCCTCTCTAAGCACACCCCTTTTTATTTATCATTCTGTTTTCTCGGGGGCTCCAGAATCTGGGCCGTGGGCCAGCAGGCACTGTATTTTTAGCTCAGAGTTATGAAGGCTCAGGAATTGGGAATTCCACTAAGAACACAAGCAAACTATGAACTTGGATGCTGCAGAGGACCAGGTACTTGTGAAGGGAGCAGCTGTGTGTTACAGACGGCAGTTTCTGTGACCGATAGCGGACTTCCCCGTCAGAGAAGGTACAGTTGGTGGATCCTATTGTTTTCGTTCTCCCGATTACTGTGTCCCCAGTGGCTCTGCTGCCTTGGAGGGGGGCCTGGTACATGGATCCCTCATCCAAGCGGGCCTCATTGGTGGGAGTGAGGATGAAAGGCCTCTGTGGTCCCTCTTCAGATGTAGGTAGGAATTTACAGAAATGTCAGTCACACGTTTCCATCAGCTCTCTGGAAAAGATAGAATCTCTACCTTGTACTTCCTATTATTTTGTTTATTATTATTATTATTATTATTATTATTATTATTATATTAATTTTCAGAAAAGATGCAAATTAGAAGTATCAGCTTAAAGAACTTAACAAGAGCAAGGTGAGGGAATCACTTTTATCGTGTTATCATCAACAACAAATCCAGAGTCCAGATCTGAGGCTGTGACTGAGAAAGCCCAGAGCCTGGGAGGAGAGAAGAGACAGGTACCCCACTGTTATGTGAGAGTGAGCTCCTAAGTTCCTGTGAGACAAAAGGGTAAAGACTAGGGGAATTTCAATAAGAAAATGGGGGAATGGGGTGGTTACCTAGAAGAGGAGGCATTTGTGCTCTTCTCTTTGAGGAGTTTGCCTCCTGTATAAGAGTCCAGTGAGGAGCAGTTTGAAGTGTGGGCACATCAGTAGGAGGGTTCTGGAAACATTTGTCTTCCAGATTTGCTGCTCTGCCTTACGGGACCTTATTTTCCTTTCAAGCAGAGTGTTCTCACCGACAGTATGTCAGGTAACGAACGGTCCCTGTAAGAATCCACTTTGATGCTTGCATCCTCTCGCCCATTCCCCACACAGCATCAGGAATGAATCTCTTAAAACATACATTGGATTATCCTCTCTCCTTGCTTAAAACTCTTCTGAGAACATTGAAATGGCTACTGCATTTAGAATAAAATCCAAGCCCTTAACTATGGCCTCTGAAGCCAACAGGGGTTTGGCCTTTTGGGCTTCTCCACCGTTACGTCTCCCATCATTCTCTCCCAACCAACATGTCAAGCTCTTATTGGCTTCAAAGCTTTTGTACGTGCTTTCCCCTCTACTTGAAATACTCACGACCTGCTTAAATTTTTTTTATTGTGGTAAAATACACATAATATAAAATTTTAACCATTTATAAGTGTACAATTCAGTGTTGTTCATTCACAGTATTGTACAACCATCACCGCTATCCATTTCGGAATGTTTTTATCATCCCAAACAGGAAATCTAACCATTAAACAATAACTCCCCATTTCTGTCTCCCTTTAGCTCCTCGGTAACTTCTATTCTACTTCCTGTCTCTGTGAATTTGTGTTCCAGGTACTTCATATTTGGACCATACAATGTTTGCCTTTTTATGTCCGGCTTGTTTCACTTAGCATAATGTTTTCAAGGTTCATATATGTTGTAGCATATATCAGAAGTTTATTCCATGTTCAGACTGAATGATATTCTCTTGTGAGTATAGACCACATTTTGTTGATTCATTCATCTGCTGATGGAGTCTCCCTGCTCTCTGCATTCTTCTCTTTCAATTTTCAGCTTAAATGTCACCTCTGATGTTCTTTTCCTTAGTACCCAATATGTCAGTATATTATTTATAATTATTTTCCTAGTTTATATCATTCTCCCCTACTGGACTGTAAACCTGGGAATTCAGTGACCATGTTGTTTGTCTCCTTCAGCATGACCTGACATGCCTAAGGACCATGGGTGCCTCTGAATCCTCCCCAAAAGCGGGCACAGAAAAAGGCAGGCATCATGGAAGTGGCTTCTGAACCGCTGTCACTGCTCGTTTTCTGGCTGAGCTTTGCAGGGACCCTGGCCTCCTCTTTTGTTTCACTCCTCATGTCTCATGTTTTTTCCTGATTCCACACCTTACTTCGTCTTCTGGACCTTCATGCTTCCTTCTCGCTTGGCGTGGCATCTCTGTGCTTTGACAGACCAGGAACAGGGCCTCGGGGCTGACTCCTGGTTTCCCCCATATCCACGCACATGGCCCTCACAGATGCGTGGCCCAGCACTGGGCTGATTGCAGAGGCAGAGTTCTTCCTTCGAGTTGGTTAACAAGGGCGGGACATGGTTTCTCAAGGTTACTAAGAGCAGAGCCTGATTCTCTAGAGGTGTCCAGCACTTCAAGGTCTACAAGATCTCCATACACATCATCTCATTTGTCTTTAGAAAAGTCTTCTTAGGCGGCTAATACGTTGGTATCATTTCCCACTTCACAAATATTCTATTTACAACTAACAGTGGATATTATTTCCCATTAAGAACCAGAGCAAGGACATGACTTACCTTATGTCATTAGCTTGTATATTAAGATGAGAACCCAAAGCTTTTCTAGAAGTCAAATTCCATGCAGAAGCAGCCCCAGGGAGCCCTGGAGATGGAAGGCAAAGATGAAAAGCTGGGGGGCCCTGGAAGGAGAAGGACGCTGGGGCAAACGTGGCTTCCTGTGTAGCGTGGTCTGGGACCCACCTGGAATGACATTTGTTGTTGCCAAGTCAGCTTCTTTG